AAATTTCATTTATTAAATTACTAAGCAAAAAAGTTATCAAAACATATACCTTTAAGAAAACGAGATCTTCACAGCAAAAATCGCAATATTTTTCAACAGTGTTTAGTCGAGCGGCGCGTTGAGAATAACTATTTTGAATAATAAAGAGCCGCATTGAGGCGCATTGCATTTCGGGAAGACCATCATTCCTCCTCTGATTTGACGCCATCCGGCAACGGGAGCCCCTTATTGGCCAAGATAGCACGTAGCACGCGCTTGTGAGTAAAAACCCGATATTTTGAAAAATTCAAAATAAATATTTCTACTCGCCGTATTCTAACGAAACTTTCCCCATGAAAGCGCTTGAATACAAAGTTAATATTTTACTCTCATTGACTTGCGGCGAATTCCGACGAGTTTAGAAGACCTTGAAGTTTTTTTTCTCCAAATGAAAATCAGAATGTTTGGTTTGTGCAATGTTTTGACGGCATTTGACACCTCTTCAAAAGGTTATTTTGTGAGGATATCAATTGTACTTTTCGCTTTAAAGTGGGGTGAGTACTTGGTTAGAAACAATTGAATTGTCGAGAAAGAAAGAAATTCAATGCAAAACTTGTCACGTGGCATGTCTGTTCTGATTTTTTTAATTGTTATCAGTTAGACGTCGTTACACAATAGCAAGGTTATTGCCGCTTTTAACCCGAGGTTTATTTTAATTCTGCCCCTTATATAGAGAATAATACATGGGTGCGCGGAAATACCAGATTTATTTCGCGTGTTGAACATGATATCTCACGAGTGAGCGCAGCGAACGAGTGAAATATCATGTTCAACACGAGAAATAAATCTGGTATTTCCAAGCACCCATGTATTTTTCTGTTTATTATATAAAGGACAGTTTTTGAAAAGCGATATTTTTTACAGAAAAATTATACTTTATAATTATAATAAAATATTATAAATACAATGAAAATAGACATCTGCAACCAGGGTAGTGTATTTTTGTTTTCCTATGTTGCAGTAGCAAAATTTTGTCAACACAATCGACACCTATAGCTGCAAGTTTATTCCACACTCTAACTAGAAATTACATGCATGCAGAAGCCCTCGCCTTGCTGACAAGACCATTTTATTTTCCGAACGTGAAGTATTTAAAGTAGTTGTCATGTATTTTGATTCAATAAATCACAATATTTTATTAAGTAAAATGAGATCCAACTTTGGCATTAGCGGTAATGAATTACTCTGGTTTGAATCATACCTAACGAATAGGGAACAACAATGCTTAGCTAATGGGATACTATCCTCCGTTGGAAAATTAAAATGTGGGGTCCCCCAGGGGTCGATCCTGGGGCCGTTGTTATTTTTGCTCTACATCAATGACCTACCACAATGTCTCCAAAAACCCACGCCGGGTCTTTATGCTGATGACACGGAAATTTACGCGTCATCACACAATGTAAATGATCTTATTGACAACATAAATTATGACCTAAATATTGTTACACAATGGATGGAGAATAATAAGCTACAAATTCATCCTAAGAAATCTAAATGTATGTTTATTGCATCCCCTTATAAAATTAAGAATATACCTCAAGGAATACCGATATTAATTAATAATGTTCCTGTCCCAAGATTAAATTGCTACAAATGCCTCGGTGTCACTTTAGACGAAAAATTGAACTGGGAACATCATATTGATATGATTATTAAGAAAGTTAATGCAGGCATTGCAGTTATTAAACGTATGAAAACCTGTGTTCCTCAGGAATTCTTACAAACAGTTTACAACGCCCTAATACAACCCTATTTTGACTACTGCTGTCAACTGTGGGATACCTGTGGAATCGTCCTAAAGGAAAAACTACAAAAATGTCAATCCCGAGCTGCTAGAGTAATAACAGGAGCATCTTATGATATTAGGTCGGCCAATGTTCTTGCAACTTTGGGGTGGCAAACTCTCGACAATGGGCGAAAATATTTGAAATCCATTTTTATTTACAAAATCTTAAATAATGAAACTGCTCCAAACCTGAAAGAAAATTTTTTGAAAATAAGTGATTGTCCAATTACACACCAATTAAGAAATTCTCAAACAGATCTGGTACTTCCATTCCCAAAATCACAATTTAAGAAAAAGACCTTCAGTTATAGTGGAGCAACTCTTTGGAATAACTTATCAATTACTGCTAAACAATCTAATTCTTTGAGTTGTTTTAAAAGACTAATGAAACAACATTTTCGAAAACCATAAGTATGTAAATAGTTTTGTATGTTTGTTATTTATTTATGTTTGTTAATTGTCAAAATAATAATCATGTAAATAGTTTGTATTATGAATATGTATTAGTCTTATTCTTACACGTCCCCTATGGAAACCATCAAAAGATGTTAGGGCTAACGTGTTTAAATAAATTTTTATGTATGTATGATGTATGTAACACGATACATTTTTAAGAATAATTTTACAAATGAAAAATCCCCTAAAAATATCACTTTTAAATTTTAATTACAAAATTATCGAATTCCCAATCATATATATGTTAGGTATGTTATTATACGTCATATAAGCTTCAATTTAAGGTAAAATTCAACCACAAACGCTTCGCAAAACGTTTTAAAGTGTTCTTTTAATATAGAACTATAAAACTGCCTTTATCGATAAATTTTGAGTTCGAAATAAAATTATTCCAAATTCTCCCATGCAAATAACTTTGCTTAGTATAATAAAAAGTGTAATCAATAAAGAAACACTGAAATAATACGCTGTCTTGTTTCATATTTGTACGCAACGATCGGCTTTTAAAGTAATTACGGTATATTAAAAGCAAACAATGTATCCATATTTACAACAAACTTGCCTTCGTTAACGTCGGCACCTTTACCCCTTCTTCTAGCAATTCTCTTGCCTTTATTTCTTCATAAATCTTTTGAAATTTACACAATCTTGCAAAAATGAAATATATTTGCAAGAAATTATCAAAGATCAAATCAATTTCGCTGTCGTTATGCAGCTGCTATAATGCCAATTTTAAATTGGACCAATCAATTTTGGCTATTCATGACAGTCTGCTATATTATGAGATCAGTGACGATGACCACCCACCGAAACACGCACAGTGACCCACGACCGCAAATAATTGATGAACGTTAGACTTCGCTAATGGTTTCGTTTCCCCGGGTGTAAATAGCCGGGGGGGATTAATACCCCCGCACGGCCCTTCTCGCCGTTGGCTCGGGGTTTAGAAAGAAATTGTGGTATAAGTAGTGATAACGTTTTGCATTGAGGTTGACATTTTTACTTTATTTGTTGAGGTTAATCGTATGGTTCTGCAAACAACAGAAACAAGTAGAGAAGCACTGTTATTTAGTGTTACCAAACTAGGTGTTTCAACAGATTATATATTTTGTAAATTATAGTTTGGTATTGATATATAAATATCTAGCAAAACCACTACGACTTGCCAAGCTGGGCAACCAAATGCTCAGAAATTATATTAAATATCTTTGACTATTATATATTAAGTTTTATCGATCGATCGGAAAATAGTGTCCAAAATACAAACTCAATTAACAAAAAACACGAGAACACAAATAGAGAAACAACTTTTAAGTTAACTAGGAATGAAATGTGCATAATATACGGTCGTTTATAGTAGCTTACAACATTTCAAAATCTTAGACTTCTTTTTAAGATAAAGGTCTTGATTTTATTTTCAATATATATAGAATTCCATACTTTAGGTCCTTGAAATCTAACGTTAATTAAACATCCGATAACTTGTTCTTGGTTTAGAAAGAGAATAAAAGATTGATTAATTAAATGATAATCTTGTATTGTAATTTTGTAATTGGTCAACAGGCACAAAAAAAGTTATATGTAGAAGGCAGCTAGGAGACAGTTGTGAAGCTTAAACAAAAGAACAGCGCTCAGTGCAAATATTAACGTTACTATATAGATCTTGTATTTGATAAGACTTAAAAATGTTTAGGGAGGATTTCTATATGGTCATGGTAAGATGAGAATGTGATGATTCATATGGCGCCGTTTCAAATATTGATGCATGGAAGTAACATGACGACTGCAAGACTGTGCACTGGCAATGCAAGAAAGTTCTATTAAACTCTGACAATTTCAGGTTTTTTAGCAGCAGACAAAAAGGACAAGGAAGAATTCAAAAAGTAGCGAATATAGCAAGTGTTGCTAAGACTGTTGCTCTAAAAAATATTCCATAACTACTGGCTTGACTTGAAAATTGTAATTATTTTCGATACCGCATAGCGAACTAGGCCTACTACAAAGTACTACAACCTTTCTTAATTTAAACTATATAGTTAAAGACAATTAAATCATACATAAATCACTTCATTTCTTTATTATATTATTTCTAATTTTGTACCTTAGGAAATTCTAGCTGATTTTCACAAAAAATGTAGGCATGCATGTATACACATAACTAGAACAAGAAAAATAAAAATTAACAAAACCCAGTTGCGGCTGAACACCTTTTTTTAGGGGGAGGGGGAGTAATTTTCAGCTAAGTTGGATAGATAGCCGGTTAATGTTAGGAGGGGGCTAAAAATACAGTGTCCAGTGACATATTTCCCCCCAAAATTCGGAAATTTGGAACTCAAAAACTTACCGTCGGGGAACCAAATCATTTTGGACGACAAAAATGCTGCACAAATTGCTTCACACACACAAATATAAATAAATAAATCAAGTATGTGTGTTAATCAATCAATAAACTAATGCCAGAAATGGCCTAATGTTTCAATATCTCTTCGTTTGAGATATTATTTTTAGACTGCATACAACTAGTACATGCAATGATTAGAAAATTAAGGGATACCATATAATTATAACTTCTGCAACAGTTAATTTATTTGTCAGTAAATTGTTTTGCCTGATGCTACTGTACAAGTATGTACCCGAATGCTTCAGTGTTCTTATACGTGCTTCTACAAACATAGATATTTCCACATGCACTCCTTCTCACCTTACCATCACATCCAGTTATTGAAGTACCAAAGCCAATACACGAGTTGCATGTCTTGCAGTCGTTAGCATCGTTAGCGACTAATCCAATCCGTACATACGACTTCCTAGTAGATTGGTCCTCACGAATATTAAACCCTTGTTTATTACAATATTTTTGCAGCGATGAACCATTGACAAGTGATTTCCATTTTGGCTTTGTAATGTTTGTTGCTGTGAATATGACGTCGTTTGCAATTACATCAAACAGCGAGCTTGCTTCGTGGTCAATCGCAATCCATTTGGTATCACTTACTGTATCTACGTCGACGTTCATTCCAAGACATATTTTTTTAAACGGCGTGTTCCAGTAAGAAGCTAGCTTTGCTTGTTTACTTGTCAAACCTTCAAGCCCGTTTTCGAGTTGGTAAGGAGTTTTGTTGCTCCAGTAAATGGAATCATATTTGAAGGTATCCTTTAAAGAAAATGTTTTCAAATATACAGACATAAAGCAGGATAGTCATCTGCGAATAAACGTAATAGTTGACTTGCATCTAAGGACGAAAGCGGATTTATATTCTTTTAGGCCTATGCATGCAATGTTCTTTCGTCAAAATCCAAGATTTGATTGATTATGTTATAGTGAATATATGCCAATAGTTAACCTGCATCTAAGGACGAAAGGGGACTTTTGGCCTATTTAATATCATCATCGAGACATAAGCATAAGCAAAATCACTGATTCCTACTGGTTGCCGTTCGAATTTGCATGCATAGGAAAAATACCTGGTTAATTGTTATTGATCGTGACATTGAACGGGACTAAATCCAGCTGCATAAATCGATGTCGAGACATGCATGTCTCTTGTGCATGCGCATCATGTCATGAATAAAGGTCCATATAGAAGAGCCACTTACGTCGGAAGCTTTGAAGTTTCTGTCGTCGTGTATGTCGCATTACGCATGTTGGCCGCCATTTTCCTAGCCAGTCAATGATATTTTCTGGACAATAAACACGCCGTACTGACGGGCTGCTCCGCCTTCTGGCCAGTAAACTGCATATTTTTGTATTTAAAAACGAGGACACGTTGCACCGCTGATCTTTGATCTTGTTAAGGTAGCCCCCTAAAATTTTTGAAATATGACAAAATCATGATTTAGATTTAATTTTTTCAAGAGAGGGTTCTTGTTGGAAGACAAAAATTGTACCACATATATTGATCAATCTTCTAAGAGTTGAAAATTGTTCACAAAAATGACGTCATTACCGTTGGTATGGTAACAATGACGTTTCAATATGGCCGACATTTTACCCTTTAACACATTTTACTTGAAAAAAGGCCAGTTACCCCCATTTTGCTTTCATGAAACGTTTTCATGTAGAAAAATGAATGATTTGAACAAGTTTAAAAAATTTTGTAGATCAGAATTTTTAAAAAATTAAACGTGATTTTTCGTAATAAATTTTTTTTGAATTTGCAGAAATTTTTTAAACTTGTTCGTATCATTCATTTTTCTACACGAAAACGTTTCAGGAAATAAAAAATGGGGGTAACCAGCCTTTTTTTTAGTAAAATGTGTTAAAAGGTAAAATGTCAGCCATATTGAAACGTCATTGTTACCATAGCAACGGCTATGACGAAATTTTTGTGAATAATTTTCAATTCTTAAAAGATTGCTCAATATATGTGGTACAATTTTTGTCTTCTAACAAGAAACCTCTCTTCAAGAAATTATATCTAAATCACAATTTTGTCATATTTCAAAACTTGTAGGGAGCCACCTTAAAGCGGGTCTTTCAAACTTATTGCGCGTTCGATCGTGGTGCATGAATAGTTATACTGGCATATACGCAAATATTTCACGTGGCAAGACTCAAAGAGAAACTGGGTTCCCAACGCTCTTCGCAGATATAGAAAGAAGTGTGACTAAATAACTTCGTGCATACAGTTTATTAATGTTTTAATTTACATTCAGACCTCGATCAGTAATCAGGTCACAAGGGAAATCTGCAATATTCTGTACATGAATATGGCAATGTACTTTGGAAATTTGCTTGCATCTGCAAATTTCATTCCCGGGTTGGTATTATACTTTAGGTGCACAGAAAGCGAGTATGTAGAGCCGGAGCATCATCTATATATAGTAAAATATATCAGATAACTTGAAACAGTGTATTACTGTGGTGTTTTGCCCGGATTGTGTTTGCCATCGGTACGGCATGGCCATTTATGCATCCAAATTTACAATCATTTATTATAGGTGGGTTTCACTGAGTGTTATAAACAGGGAAACACAGCTTTACATGCATGTATTGAAGTGTTATACCTACAGTACATTAATTGGTAGCCTGACGCTACGTATAAGCGACTATACATAACAGTAAATTGTGTGCATTTGCAACCAAACAGAAAATCTGAAACACATCTGCGTTCATAACAGTATTATAGCCAGTAAAGCAGTTATTCATTGTACATTATATCATAACAAAAATCTGCATACATAGAGGTTGCTTTACATATAGGTCGCTTTGGGTAGCATTAGCATATATAATTCACTAACATAAACAATCAGATCTTAGATTTTGGCCAAAGAACATTGCATACAGTAAATGTATATAAGTCCGCTTTTGTCCTTTAGATCCAGGTCTACTCATGCGACCTATGAAGCAATTTGTGTTTGCACATTATTTGACGGTAAGACTTATGATATCAAATTTTAATTATTGCTTGCCTCTGCAAATTCCATCCCCTGTAGGACGCCGAAACATGCATGTCTGCAGATTGTACTATATATATACATATATATATATATATATATATATATATATATATATATATATATATATATATATATATATATATATATATATATATATACAGGGTGTCTCAAAAAAACCCAAAATCATTGAAATAACGTATTGTTCGAATTTCAATGCCGTAACACAAAGGATTTTGACAAAGTGATTAATTTGTTTTAAAAAATTAAAATATCTTTGTAAAGTGAACGTTTGTTTGCTCATGGGAATTTAAAAATGCTTCGTAAATTGTAATATGCGTAATATGCATTCGTGGGTTTAGTACTTTATGCCTGACATAACAAGTTTACGCTGAGTATTACCATTCATTATAGCAGTTATGTCAATCTTTTATGCACTCGTGGGATTAACTTAGTGCTAGGGCATTGAATATCGAACAATACGTCAATTTCAATGATTTTGGGTTTTTTT